ATGCAACTACAGGAAATATTAAATAGGAGAAATCGGAGACACCGTCACTCAAATGTAAAAGATCATCCATAAAACTGGAGAGAATGGACGATATCAAACGAAAACGAGTGACATGGGGCAACAAAGCATCCAGCAATAAACAAACCTCGCGCGTTGCAAGGTTAGAGAACGATGAGAAATGTTGTGAGGGATTTGGCAGCAGGCGCCAGAGAAACGCCATGTCCCCCAATAGTTAGATCTGGTTGACGTCATTAAAGAAAGAAATTGAATGAAGAGACGAATCAAAGAAGCCTCATTTATTGAATCTTGTGAAAACGCGAACCGAGACATACGAACTCGGCGAGCATTGGACAAATTTCATCAAACCCTGAATCGGAAAAGTATGCAACGAACGAGTAGCATGCATCAAAGCAAACTTTTGTCTCCAAACGTCATAACAGCTGTAAACCATAGAACCAACTACGGAAATCAATCCAGGTTATTTTGAAGAAGGGAAGTGAGAAACAGCAGAAACGTCGGTGCTAGTCCATTACTCGTTTGAGCAATTTGCTCGGGTTGCGGAAAACTCCGTTGTTATATATTTTTTTTACAGACAGGTCGCCAACGCAGAAACATAATACTCTGTCTAAGGAAATGTTCCAGAGCAGTTCACGCAAGTAACAGGAGATTGTTATTTTGGCTGCCAGTACCAAGCACTAGCAGTTTCCTAGTAAATACATAACACCTGGGATAATTTCGATTATTCCGGTATGAATCCAATACATATTTATTCTCTAATTCCGTTTCATGTTCTTCTGCGCTTAAACAAATCGATGAAAATTCCAAACGTTGTTGGGTATAGAGATCATTGCACTAAAATTACTGTAATAATCGCCAACCGTGACCGTATTTGCATTGACACAGCTTGCCTGTATAGGAATGCTTGAATAGAGAAATACAAACAGCTACTTCCTAATTCGATAGAAGAAAACTCGACTGAAGTGCATCATACAATCTGCTCCAGATCCTGGCTATTTTCTACACGTTCTCAGATTGGCAACGCTGAAAATACTATACACGGTTAATGCCTCGGCCACCCAAGAGGATAATTGGTGATAGAAGCAGAGTGCTTTTATCTTAATAGCAAAATTTATTCAATAGAATGTCATAGTCCATTAATTTGACTTTCTTGACTCACAGAAACGTTGTCCGTTGCATGCAGCTCTACATGGACCTTTGATTTTCGCTTAAAATGTTACTGCATTGATTACTACTGTAATCTTCCTGCCAAGATTCTTCGTTTTCCGTCCTTGTCATACATAATGTATAACTTCAAAATTTCATTTATTTTTAAGACATCCGCACCGTGTTAGAAGCGGAAGCAAAAAGGTAAACAATTCAAAGCGTTTATTTAGCAAGTTTGTAATACCACTTCCTCGATCCAAATATCCTCCAAATAGCCAAAACAAGCATATCATCAAGATGTAGACGCTGTCAGTCATCCTCATTCCCGATGGACTCAATCAAAATGAGCTCTTCGGCCGAATCTCGATGTAACCTTTAATATTTGGATCATCGAAAACACGCTTCACATATGCCTCCAAGTTATCGTTGTCCGACAGAACGTCAGGATCGTAGCAATCGGCCAGCAATGATAGAATTTCAGCTACAGCCAAATCTGCGTAAGTAATCTAAAGCAAAGTGAGAACTATGTGGCTTCTCGAACAAAGAAAGAAAAGCGAGGCCAACCCCGGGGTTCTTACCTCATCCCCCACCAACCACGTACATTTATCTTCAGTGATTAATTTATTGTAATTCTCCAAGAACGGTTTCAGAAACTCATCTTGAAACTTTTTCCATGCAATTGCCTGTAAAAGACAGAAAATTCATAAACAACAAATATGAATGAAAATATTGCAGATACGCTTTCGTATATGTAGAAATTAAACATGAATGAAAATATTTCAAACATCCAGCTCCCGCCTTACATTTCAATATTGGTCTATAAAATCTAAGATTTTCATTTGTTCAGCCAAAGAGAGCGATAAGACAAAGAACTTCTTTACGAATTAATCGGACCTTTCCGCTTCACGAATCAGAAGCCGTCATCAGTGCATTTCAGAAAAGTTTCAAAGAGGGCATCGAAATATCAATATGACACCTTCCGGTCCCAAATACCGAAACAATCGGCAAAAGTGTATTTGAGACCTCGTGGCTACTAATTTATTTTGTCAAATGACTTATCATATTATTCAAACAGTAGTACCAACGACTATGAGTCTTAAAGATGCAAATGTATTTTCTTGAATTTCTATATCGAGTTGCTAAACAGGAACACTCTCACGAATATAATGAAATGTAAATATATGCAGAAGTCAATGACCAACTGTTTCTGTAAGTGTACTGCGAAATAATTCACCTCATTTCAGAGTATCACTTAAAATTCCTTGCCTGGGATCCAGTACATTCATTCAAAATGCAGACATTAAATGATGACCTGCCGACAAACTTGTTTGGAAAATGAGTCGCGTCATCCAGTGACTGTCCGAGTTTCAATCTTTCCTTCTATATGGAAACACGCAATTTTAGGTCTTTAAAATGATGGAGTAGAAGACGAACGAATTTAATAATCCTCCAGCTTTAAGTTTAATCTTGTTTAAATCGAAACCAAGCAAAAACACAGATAAACTGGTTTTCAAGGTTGTTTATAATATCCCCAAGCCTCATCATCATTATTAACGATTATCGATCCACTGCTCGATGAAGTCCTCCCCAAGATTTAGTGAAAACATTTTGTCTAATGTGATTCTTATCTACGTTACTGGAATAGACTTTCGTGTAGCTAATCCTCCCCTCGATGTGGACATATTCCGTAGAACCGTTTACTATCACTTTGGACTCATATAATTAAGGTCTCTTTGATCATGCGATGACCGATATGTGTTGCAACGTGTCCAGCCCATTCCCACTTCTGTTTCTGGTCTTAGCCATTCCTCCGTTTCGGTATTTTTTCATGGTATTCAGAACAGCATATTCCCATGTTGAGTTTTGGGGTATGCAGTTTGTGGAGGTCTAAGCAATTTTACGATTCTGTTGATTTTGCCTACTTTGTCCTCCGTTGTAGATAGGAGTTGTTCATGAGAAGTGCAATATTGCATTTTTTGAAGCCTTAGTTAATCGACAACGGCAGGCCATTGAGTGACATATCTCTTAAACCTGACCTCTGACTCCATGAATAGTTCATTTTCCGTCCTGCTTTGATACGGAACTCGTTCAACTCTTCAAGTTTACTCTATAGTTATACTGTATACCTTCTCAAGATCAGAATATCGTTGTAAATCCGCAAGTGGCTTAAGTGGTTTCAATGCAATAGTCAAAGCTAGGTGATGTCAATGAGTCTTCACACCAAGATTAACCCAATTAAGTGAAAGCTTCCTCTATGAGGACTGCGAAATAGTTTGACGATATGCTTCGTTCTGAGGGTCGCCTTTTTCGATTTTGAACTTGTTTGTCCCTTCGTGATTCTTTACGCAGGCAGTTGCATTTTTATAACTTCTTGCCATAAAACCTCTGAATTCGTTCTCGATCCTTTGCATCCTCACGAAATCTACTACAGAACGGATACAGACATAGTCAAAACAAATCTCGAAATTATTAACCTAGAAAAACAAGATATTCGTTGATTGCACAATCTCCTGGTGCAACATCTGAAGCTGATGCAACATACTAAGTCCACATCTGAATTCTTCTAGTTCCCTTGGATGTGCACAACATAGTTTTCTTGAAGGCCGTTTATCAAAATAGTCGTGACCAGCTTGTTCATGATCAGGAAGAAAATGATTGGACGTATCTCATCAGATTAATTTGTCTCCTTTCTTCCTGTGTAGTACAAACAGAGATGCTGAAATCCAATCATGTGGAATTATCCATTTTTCCATTAAACGTGAGCATAGGCGAGGTGATGTCTTGGTCAATGTCTTACCTCCTAATTCCCTGAGTTCTAATCAATCGTCTTATCGCCTGAAGGTCCTCGATTCTTCGCACGTTCTATGGAATTTTCCTCTAGTTCCAAAACAACTCGAATTTCCTGCACTTCATTCGTTTTCTAGATTTCTTGTCATCTGCTGTATACAGTCTTCGGTCGATATCTCCTACTCTCTTCGAGATGATTTGTCTGTCTCATGTGATAGTCTGTTTCAAGTTTTCCTGCAAAACAATGCTTTCTTTGATGATCACGAGTTTTAGACGAAATAATATGCAAAGCAGAGCTGAACTAACTTCAGTTTCTGCGATTATAAGATACTGAAATGAAATTCCATCAACAGAAACCATTATAATCAACAGTGGTACCCGAGGCTTCCCGGTGGCGTCCTCCACTGACTTTAAATCCTTATACAAGTCGAACGTTGCTTGTACATGCATGCTGACTTTTGCTTGTTGCCACGTCGTCTGTCCAGCGAGATCTAAACACCCTGATTGGCTTTTGGGTAGAGTAAAGATATCCGGGCTTACTTAATATCTCCGCCAGGTAGCGCGCTATCACCGGTGCTTTGCACAGCATATCACCGTCTTTTTCAAGTACCGGCAGCTGACGCATTGGTGCCTTGCGCAGAACTGCAAAATGAGTTGAAAAATTCGTACGAATCACATATGCTCACATGATTTGAGGTCTGGCGACCCTTCTTTAGGAAAACGCTTATCTTCGTATTCAAAATGACCGTAGGCAAGTAGTATCCGACACAACTCTCCGTTTCCGCGACCATCATAGTAATAAAACTTGTACTTATCCATCGCAGGCAAGGTTCAATCGATGCAGAAGCGTAAGAGCGAGTTCCGATCTAAAATTATAAATAACCCGAGGCGGAATAACGGTTTCATAACACACTGAAGGATTTCGCATCTTCTTTGGTGGCAGACAATCAGATCTAACCAAATGCTGTTACAGGCCCAGATTATCAGGTCATCAGACCTGTCCAGACGGTGGCTCAATGCCTAACAAATGGTGGATTTCCAAAGTACCATCATTTAAGCTAGCTGTTTTAGCCAATCCGGTGTGACGACGACGAAGAAGTTGGGCCAATGAAATTATGAAGAAAGTAGATTTGTTTCTGGTAGCAAAGTCTGATAATGGTTCAGTGGATCTCGACGTAATCATCGATGAGCTACAAGTCATAAGCTAGAACTAAATCCAATCAGCAATATGACTAACGGTGGCATGAAACATTCAGAGTTTAACAGGTCATATGATTTATACTATATCAGAATTCACACAGCGAAACTGCTGTGTATTATTTAACCACGTAGCTTACAAATGTAGGCGCAAACTACGGTTCTACGGCACAAACTCTGAAAAAGTTAATACTTCATAATGTAATGGAGGGAGGGGCGCTGTTCGAAGGGAAAGCAGATTATTAACTCTGATTACCGGGGTTAGGTTCTCTAACTGGTCATCCTAAAATTTTCATCAATTTTTACAATTTAGTACAAGTTCGAACATACAGGTACGATTCCAATGTATCTCAGCGTAACAAGTTGTCCGTCGGCTACATTATCATTATAACGACCAAGGTTTTGCAAAAACGTCATTAAAGGGAAGTATGATAACCATACATCGCTATAACCGACAATTCCTGGCATGTACGCACGTAAATGTTACACTCAGATCTGCCGGTACCAATAAAAGTACTGCTGGACGTAAAACCCCGGTATAAGTTTGAATGTTATCAACATGAGTCGAAAACCGACTGAAAAATAATAAACAATAATTTACGCATAACAAAAAATTAAACGGTACTACAACGCATGCAAAAACCAAAATTTGCGATTACCTCCTCCAAAGGGCCACAACAACGACAACCGTTTGGGGTTGATGATATAAAACTGATTGAGAAAAAACAATGCCTGAGGTTTCTTGGTACTCAGGCTCAGCCTCTACCTCGTTAGAAAAGCAAACATTCAAACGAGCAAGAATCGTTCACATTCTTAACTCTGCAGCAAACTATAGACCTCTTAATTAATTTATTTAACAATACATGACTTTGTCGAAAGTGCACAGGAAGGCACGAAAATGTTTCACGTCCGTCGGCCACTGGATTCTGCTTTATAAACGTCGCTGGCCTAAAAATTCCGAAAATGTGCTATACTGGCATAACACCTGCAAGCGATTAGGACGGAACGCTACGTATAAACACGTATAAACGGAAGATCAGAATGGCGAATTAAATATAAACAAATTGACAGATGGTACGTTATTACAGCGTAAAAAAATCTGGTGTATGATTTCTAAGATTCATAGCAATTCCTAGTCCACTTCCATGGAAATGCCATTTTGCTCATTCGAGAGATGCCAGAGATGTTACTATATCTATCGAAATATCAGCCAATCCTAATTTTTCCCCCTCATAACAAACAGTGGAAAACGAATATTAATGCGCAATCAACATATAAGGTGCTATCCACAAGACTTCCGTTATTCACCAATGGCAGTACTCTCTCTGAATTCCTTGTGCTGAGGCAAATCTGAGTTTAGCCCACCTCTCACGATTGATTGGGAAATCAGTTTCACGTAATCACTGTTCTACTGCACTTACGTGATTTGAAATCTGTTCCATTCTGCTCCATGGCGCGTAGCTGAAACTGGTGCTGCGTAATCGATGTATGTGCTACATGGTATCTGTTACGAACAGAAGGTAACAGCAACTGAAGATAAGTACTGTTCAAGGCAAAGGTCATTGTGCATTTTTTGGCAATGCTGGTTTACGACAGCAATGACACGTGATCTGTGGGTCTGTAGTCCGCCAACCACTGCAGCAGCTGAGGATCTAGACAGATTTACTGCAATCCAGTCAGCAGAATTTCTCAAACCACAACATTAAATGGAGATTGCAGTTCAGGAAATAATACCCCTAATGTTCAGTGTTAATGTCAGACGATGAAACGGCGTTGGATGGAATACTGTCTTCCTGCAAACATGATATGCAATCAGCAGGCAACTTCATAATTGTGAGGCTTACTCCTTGGACTAATTTTGCATTTTCCATTTTGTCACAATGTTACCTTTTTGCACTACTAGTTCTGGCAAACGATGATCTATATATAAAGGAGGTATTTTAAATATTCTTCAAGCACTACTTACCACTTGACTGTTGCAGCAGCACAGGTCAATTATAGCCATCGTTATTTTTCAGCTTGATACTTCACCACCCGGAAGCACGATGGTTTGAAAGGATCGGAGGAATCATTTAGCCGAGAAGTCGTTTCGAGTATGGTTTCGTCCCTAGCAAGAAATTTTCTAAATTCTAGAAAGATGAACATTTAAGACACGAGCAAATCATGGCCGTATCGGCCTATATGCCCAACGGTTGCATCCAGTTCTGTGATGAGTGTTGCGTACGAATAGAATTAGACGATCCAAAGCGTACTGTATCCATGAACAGCGAATGTTAAACGAACGGAAAGGTCCCAATAGGAAATTAGCAAGGCAATATACATTTTTTGGTAAATCCGAGATCAAGTTATAAATACTGATATGTTGTGATATGTTGTCACCAACGGCATATCCGTACGATCAGTTTACTTCTTCTAGTATTGATAATCTGTTAAGCAGATCACAAAGTCATGCAGTTTTATCACTACACTTTGGATTGCAAAATTATGTTCTATGATGAGCAAATACACGTCTAACCGGGAGCATAAGGTTATATCTTCATCTTTGCCATCATTTATGACCGGCTCTCGTTTCGGATCGCACAGACAGACGCCTCAGACAGAGCTTCGAACGTTCGCGCTCCTGTGCCAGAGTG